TACTTGGATATATATATATATATATATATATATATATATATATATATATATATATATATATATATGTATTCACCGTTTAACTTTACCTTTCCTGTAAGATAGACAAGCCTCTCTTGAATACACCGGTTTATAAACGCTTAACAAATAAAAGTAATGTTAGTTAGTTATCAAGTTTGTGTTAGCATGACACAGGGCCATGAGTGTGGAGTACTCATCGTGTTCTGATTGAAAATCAAAGTCACTTCAGGAGCAATGGACAACAGAATTTATTTCCTAAATCTGCTGCCCAACAGTGACACACGTCGTGTTAGATTTTTGCATAAACGATTCACTTGCAAACTGTCTCTAAGTACTGCTAACCAAAAAAAAAAAAAAATGAAGCTCACTATTTCAGTTTGACAATCAGTAAATGTACATCACTTTACTGTGTCTCTTAAAACATGGATGAATAAACCGAAACAATACACAGGAGAAGAACTGACAAGAAGAAACATTTCTGTTCAATATTTAAGGGGTGTAGCTTTTTATCATTTGTATTTCAATAACAAAAGACATTTATTCAAAATCCGAAGAGAGAAACAAATATAGATTTAGATGTGAAGTTTATGCATTTAAACTTCGTAAAACAACGCTAACTCTGTACCTATCTGTCTATCTCTAAATATTCATATATATATATATATATATATATATATATATATATATATATATATATATATATATATATATATACTCGACTCTCTGGTCGAATACGACATATGAGGGTGAAGCAGATCGGTTCCTAGGTAATCGACAGCCCGACAACAGCACATGAGATTTGATTATAGTGGTGAAGGTTTCGTGCAGGACCATCCACACTTTTTGAAGGGCCGACTACAGAGACCTGGTACACTATGTGATACAGAGTCCCCAAACGACCCTCCGCAGGTTTTGAATTCAGAGTTGTCCTTCTACTAGGCCGGTTGCCATCCAAGGCTATAGAACCCAGTCTGTCCTGCTATTTACCCATAGCTGGAGGGAGAAGAAAGAGGATTCACACTTTTCACAAGGGTGTTAGCACGTAAGTGAATGTAATGGATTCGACTGAAATTCGAACTCGGCTCTCCGATCTGTAGTAATCTTTGGTATAATCCAAGTGAGTCCTATTAACACAATATAAAATTTGAAATATTAAATTTTAAAACTTACTTACAAAGAGCGCTCAATGTTTAAATTTAAAATTCGTAGGTGAAATGGTCATTAACTAATCGCATCTTAAATCCAGTTTTAAGAAAAAGTAAGTATATATAAATATATATAGTTATCCACAGACAGACGGTTTCGCAGCTCATCAGTGTGGCTAGACATCTGCTTGCCTCTAGCTAGAATCAAAACCTGAATGAATAGTCATCAGTCGGGTATTCTACCACTAAGCCGTTGGCGCACGGCGACATGAAGGTGAATTTAAGCGCATTTATTTTTAGATAAAACACACAGTGACTGAGAGAACTCGATTCGATTTATCGAAGAGTCTTGCATTATTAGCAGTAATAGTCACTGTTTACAAACCCACACTTCCTCCCCAGAGAGCTCAACCGAAATAAATTTTTCAGGAGCATATATATATATATATATATATATATATATATATATATATATATATATATATTAAAATCAATTCACCCCAAGCAAGGTGATAATGTCGCTAAGATCCTAGGGGTTTACTGGACTGAAAGAGGATGAAATGACATTAGAAATAACAGGAAACCTAATCCTAAACAAGAAACACAGAATAAACCTCTACCCCTGTTCAAAAGGCCGGAGATGATATTGACCCACACGATAGGCGAACCTATATACTCCTACTGAGGAGACAATAATTAGTGAATAAAATTACAGAGTTCAGGTTGATTTTTTAAGAGTTTTAGTCATGTTTATTTTTATATCAGGTATTTTAAAAGGATCCATCTTTTAGCAGATAAATTCAACTGACAAATGGACATATAAACATCATTAAAATATATATCGGCAAAATAAACGAATAAAAACTTTCATCTCAAATATTCTGCAGAAATACGGTGGAGTTATGGATAACGGCTCGGATTGAGAAATTGAGGAGCCGAGTTCAAATTCCACTCGAATCCATTACATTCACTTACGTGTTTGGGAAATGTGTGCATCCTTTTCTTCTCCCATTCCCGTCAGCTAGGGTAAATCGCAGGATAGACCGGGTTCTGTAGCCTTGAATAGCAACCAACAACCAAATAGCAAGTCGTGTATCACTCATGGCACATAACTGCCTGACTAGTATAACTAAGCAATGGAGCGTGGAATATAATGAATGAAGAAAATATATATATATATATATATATATATATATGTTGATACTTGCCATTAAAACCTATGGGGCAGTCATAACATTAGCATACAAAAATGACTATACTCAAGCAAGTCAGGCATTCTTTCTTTTACTGGTATGATGGAACACATTGCCTATATAAGAAGCTTGTCCCCACAAAATACTGATGCTTTAATATTTAGTCTGGTTTGGAGAAATAGTTAAAGCCAAAAATTTTTCAGCGATCCTTCGTAATTGTAACATGAAGATGAGGTCAGTTTGAAATAATTATTTTTGGTGTTTTTTTTTTTTTTTTTGGCTTTTTGCTTTTAAGATTCAATAGAAATTCTCGGATCAGAAGAATACAATTAAGTGAAAGTTTCAACCCTATTACCCATGAACGTTTTTGCTATATGTTTTATGTTATTTCGGAGAAAGCCGAAAAAAATAATTTTACCTTAGAATTGTTTGAAATATTTGAAAATTTTCTACCAGCATTTCGCCATATTGTAAAAATGACGAAGCAACTCCCATTCATTATTTGTTCTTTGTTCCTTATATAAATAACGAATAAATAAATAATGTGTAGATTTTTTAGCCTCCAAATTCGTTTGTGAGCTTTTCAGATTCCAGCCCTTTTATACATAAAATTATCATTGTCATCTAAAAATATAATATTTTTAGATTTCTATAAATCATTCACTAAAATCCAAGTTAGTCTTCCGTTGATTAACGACTTACTTTTTATAAAATATTCGCTTTCTTTTGTTTATAAAATATGCACGTACAGATAGACATCTCTATGTCTGTCTATCTACCTATGACAATATCTTCAAATATGTCTGTCTGAATATATTGATATCTATGTATGTATGTATGTATGGATGCATTTATCTATCAATCTGTCTATCTATAGTTAACGACGAAATTATTCGTACACCCATCAACTTTGAATATTTTTATCCATTTCTCAGAATCTAATGCCCATATGATGCCAGTTTTTTTTACATGTTAATAAGCACAGAAAAAGGGACATAAAACTCAATTTTCAGAACAATAGATTAAATACAACAAGTTTGACAGGCGAATTATGAAAAATAGGAAAAGACAAAATTATTCGTACAGTATGAAAAATAGGGAAAATTGAACAATTTTCACAATATTATCGTCAATAGCATGACCTCTCATCTTTATTACTTGCTGCATCGTTTTCTAAAGTTTGTGATGAGATTTCTTTTCTGGACTTTTCTTCCATTTTTCAATGTTTACACGTGGCAGACGATTTATACGAACGTTCAATTCTTGCCATAGATTTTCAATAGGACTCAAGTCAGGACATGGAAGAATCGTAATCGTTTTCTGAAGCCACGCATTCACTGATTTAGACATATGTTTAGGATCATTATCTTGCTGGAAAATAAATCGCCGACCTAGATGAAGATTTTGTGCTGAGTTTTCATCCAGAATTTTTATATAGTCTGCAGATTTTATTATTCCTCTTATTGGAATTAATTGTCCAGTTCTCCTTGAGCTAAAACAACCCCAAAACATCATCGAGCCACTTCCATGTTTTAATGTTACCATCGTGTTCTTGCGCAAAATCTTCTGTATATTATTTCGTCCAAATAGCTCAATTTTTGTTTCAACACTCCATAGTACTTGTTCCCAAAAGCAAAATATCTTTGTCCAAGAACGTTTTGGCAAAATTAAACCGAGCAACAATGTGACATGATTTGTGAAGACGGCTTCGTTGTGGTCGGTTTCCACACAACCCATTTCTATTTAAACAACGTTGTATTGTGCGTGTACTTACGCTGATAGATATTCTATCCAAAGTTTTGGCGATGTCTTTCAAAAAATTCTTGGCTTTATATTAACCTCGCGACACAGTTTTCGTGCAGTTCTCGGTGATAATTTCGGTTTTCTTACACGCCCAGGAAAATTCTCTCTCGTGCCAAACTTTTTAAAATTCTTTATAACGGATTGTGCCTTAGATCTAGAGATAACTAACCGGTTTGAAATATTTACAGTGGAGGCTTGTATTTCACTAAGTCTGTCCTAAAAGAGTCCGACGTACAAAAACGTTAGGAACTTGAAATAAGAGTTAATGACGCAGCAATCTAGTTGTGATGGTTGATACTTCAATGTCCGACATCGACTGACTCACTCAACACCACTGAGACCAACTGGCCACTGCTACTACTACTTATTATCTGTGGGAGAGTCTATTACAATAGAATAGGTATTATGGTATAACAGGAAGTTAATAAGTTTCTGTTAACGCTAAGTTCCTTTGTCTTCCCCATTGTGTTGTTAATAATAATAACAATGGTGACACTCTATGCACCACGTGATGTTCTTAGCTGAAATTATTACTAATGTTCTACTGAATAAATAATTTACAAGGCTTCAGTGATAAAATAATTATGTAATTTACTTATACTTACACGAATTAATCAATTTAAAAGGATATTTTCTACTGTACAAATAATTTTGTCTTTTTACAGTTTTGCATAATTTGACTTGTTGAATTTAACTTATTATTCTGAAATTTGCGTTTCATATTCCGTTTTTGTGCTTATTAACATATAAAAAACTGGCATCATAGAGACATTATAATCTGAGAAATGAATAAATAATATTCAAAATTGATGGGTGTACGAATAATTACCTAGTTGACTGTATGTTTTTCAGTGTGGTCATTTCTATCTATCTATCTATCTATCTATCTATCTATCTATCCGGAGGCAGAGAGTTGACTAACACAGCTGGAGACGAATCTCGTACTGCAGACCACCGTACAGTATTTACTACTGTAGTTATGTGAATGGGGACATAACCCATAATCGTCCGTAGGGATGCTACAACAGTAAGTAAGAAGAACATCTTAATACTCAGTCTTGTACTTGCAAATCTAGAATCTTCACCGTTCTTGTTTTTATCACGGCATCTCAGCCGATAAATTCTTAGATCTGGGTATCAACAATTCTGGCAGACAGACAGACGCGACCCAGAACTAAATCCAAAGAGAATCCAGCACTATGTGCAATTTAAAAGCACATGTCTGTTCTTCTAGAATATTCATGAAACACTGACGATACATTACTTTTTTTTACTTATGAAAAGTAGTTACTTTTATGGGAGAGGATTCTACTGAAAATATCTACACACGCGGAGCTGAATTGACGCCTTTGATCAGATGTCAGAGAGAATAAAACAGGATCTCCATCTGAGATATGCTGAAGAATTCATATGTGATGATGAAAAAATATATATATATTGATTTTGATGCGAGATAAGTTTATTTTCCTTCTGCTGTAGCGGAATCCTTTTAAAGTCCAGCATATTTTCTCTAGACACGAAATTCACATCTGAAAAGCTGTATCAGTCGGTGCGTGTGAAACCTGATAATATCAAAATAGTTGACGATCTGCTTCAGAAGCTTTATCAGCCGGAAAGCACACAAAGAAATAGTCAAGCAGTTGGTCAAAGTGTTACCGGAAAGAATCAACAAGATATTTCAGGTTCAGAGTTAGACATTTGCACATGCGTATACATGCATATGCATTGGGCGCATGCTCAGCTTTTGATTCAGCTTAGTCTGAACGCAGTTATTTGATTTATGTTCGCAGGCATTGATGTCTGGATGCTTGTATTTGATGTCTGGGTGCAGGTATTTGATGTCTGGGCGCAAGCATTGATGTCTGAGTGCAGGTATTTTTATCTGGACACAAGTATTGATGTCTTGGCGCCGGTATTTTATTTCTGGTCGCAGGTATTGATGCATGGGCGCGGGTATTTGATGTTTCGGTGACCAACAACACAGTCTTTCGGTGTATTCCATTTTGCTGTACAATTATTTCTTTGACCATGTCGAGATTTTCTAGGAGTATCCGTTTGTAAATATATAAAGAAAAAATAATATAAGAAAACACGACGTGATGTGGTGTTGTAAAAAAAGATAGGAAAAGTACATAACTTTTTTCTCTGTGTTAAAGAAGAAATTAAAGCACACTATTTACATTGTTCGGACTATCATCCTCATCTTTGTCGCCATATTTATCACAACGTTTCGGTCTTTCAGTATCTGTCTATATTTCTGAGATGAGGTATTATGTACATTATTTATATTGTTCGGACTATCGTCCTCATCTTTGTCGCCATATTTATCACAACGTTTCGGCCTTTCAGTATCTGTCTATATTTCTTAGATGAGGTATTATGTACATTATTTATATTGTTCGGACTATCGTCCTCATCTTTGTCGCCATATTTATTACAATGTTTCCCTCTCCAACTTCTCCACCGCCTTAACCAGAGTGGAATTAACAGGAGATAACTGATAATTGACATCCATTTGACATGGCACGTGGAACTAGAACAGTCTACCCCATTGAGCGAAATAAAGGGTTCAGTTCGACATTCCAACCACCTGAAGAAGGCCGGAGCGTACAACGGCCGAAACGTTGTAATAAATATGGCGACAATATGGTGGACAATAATCCGAATAATGTAAATAGTGTACATAATACCCAATCTCAGAAATATAGACAGATACTGAATAGCTGAAACGTTGTAATAAATATGGCGACAAAGATGAGGACAATAGTCCGAATAATGTAAATAGTGTACATAATACCTCATCTCAGAAATATAGACAGATACTGAAAGGCCGAAACGTTGTGATAAATATAGCGACAGAGAAATTCCAAGAAATAAAGAAGTCTTTGAAGACTCCATCATTGCTACTCTAAGGACAAATTGTGAAATCAAAAACATGATCGCGAGTACCATAAGAGAGCTCCCAGTTACTTTGGCCGACATAAAAAGGGAGTCTCGAGTGGATGAATTCATTCAATCTATAAAAAGCAAAATTCGCAATAAAGACACCAATGTGCCTGAAGTTTTCTCCCTCTGCGATGATGCCCTACTATACAATGACCGCGTAGTGATTCCAAACAACTGTAGCTGTATTAAGTTACAGTTCTGTCGAACTCTCTGCATTAGCAGAGAGGAACCCGGACGAAGCTTTGCCGAAGAGCAAGGTTTCGTTCGGGGTGGTTGCCTAGGCGGGTTCGATGGCTATATTTTTGGCCGAGCCTACGGGCTCGGGAAACCCACATTAAAATCGGCTTTGTGCCACATTCAATCCTCGTGGGGGAATAGCTAAATATTGTAGTGATTCCAAACAGCCTACAAAGAAAAATCCTTTTTACATGGGACATCCGGGGAAGAACCGTACGAAAAGCCTCATGCGCTGCTATGTTTATTGGCCAAACATGGACAAGGACATAGCAGACATGATAGAATCATGCAAAGGATGCGCGCTCGCAGCAAAAGCTCCAACCACGACGCGCAAACGATGGCCAAACACAGACCATCCATGGCAAAGAATTCATATCGATTTTGCAGGGCCTATAGACAACATGCACTACCTTATTGTTGGGGATAGCCACTCAAAATGGCCTGAGGTCCTACAATGCAAAAGTCCAACCACAAACTGCACGATCGGATTTCTACACGTGCTATTCGCGCGTTTTGGCGTGGTAGATTGTGTAGTTACAGATAATGGCACTCAATTCACATCAAGTGAATTTAGAGACTTCTGCAAGTCATATCAGGTGGACCACATTACAACGCCTCAGTACCACCCTAGGTCGAATGGCCAGGCCGAAAGGTTCGTGGACACTCTTTAAAAAAGGCACTAGGCACACCGACAGATAGAGCATTGCAACAGTTTCTGCAGGTGTATCGGATAACCTCTAATCCGAACACGCCTATGGGAAGCTCGCCTGCAGAAACAATGTTCGCAAGGAAAATCAAGTCTGTCTTTGACAAACTTATTCCACGGCAAGCAAAGTTAAAAAAAAAACGTATCGCCTCATAAGAAATTTTTCAATCCTGGCGATAAAGTCTTTTTCAAGGCTTACAAAAACAACATAACATTCTGGGAAGTAGGCACCATAAAACAAAGAATTGGCGAACTGGTCTATATTGTCTAAGGACCGAAAAACACTCACAAACGCCATTGGAACCAGCTCAGAAAATGCCGTTTGAAGGTATCGGAGGAATCATTACAAAATAGCTGTGAAGAGCCGATCGACGTAATTTTCGATCACTTCGATCTTGACACGCCCCAAGTCTCTCCTGAAGTGCGACGCTCAGGAAGGAAAAGGAAATTTACTCAACCGCTCGACATAAATCCCAAGAGAAAAACGTATTAACAGTTTTGTTTTTTCTCTCCTTTTCAAAAAAAAAAAAAAAAGAGAAAAAAAAAAGAAAACTCTTGGAAGGGGGATGTCGTGAGACCTTAACATACCTACAACATGGACTCTTCCAGGGCTATATAAAGTATGCGATATAACACTCTAGGAGAAGAGGAGGAAAGAGAGAGAGAGAGGGTATTCTAATACCGTAGTATCAGCCGCGTACGACTACCAATATTGGACACTAGTACATAGTAAGCTCCACTTACACTTACACTATCTTTGTAACCTTTTTGTTTAATATATCTTTCTTATCTCTAATCCGTGTTCCGTGTTTTCCTTCCGTGATCCTAACTTTGGGTCTACATCAAGGTGCTACCACCCTAGGTCAGGGTGAACCTGGAAACACCAGCAATTAAGATGTGGTTCCACGCTCCTCAAAACCTCCTGGTCAGAGGCCTTGCTGCTGGACGTAGTTTATCGTCTTACCCAGGACGCGGATATAGTTTATCGCCATACCCAGGACGAACCTTCCTTGTCAAGAAATGGTATCTGCCTTCGCTAAAAGCCAGTCGACTGCTAGTACACACAAAACATCCGTCTTTTTGTCAATAATAGACGACGCATACGACATTTGCGAGGGCTTGAATTTCGATAATAAACAGAAAAATTGGAAGTAGTAATAATGAAATTTGAAGAATATTTTGTTCAAGAAACCCATGAAGCGTACAAAGCTTACAGATTTTATATTCGAAAACAGGTAGATTCGGAGAGTATAGAGGCATTTGTCGCTGCGTCCCGGCAGTTAGCAAAAGGCTGCAATTTTGGGAAAATGCAAGACAGGCTAATTCGGTATCAAATGGTTGTAAGGGTTAAAGATGATAAAGACAAGGAAATGTTGTTTCAAAGATAAAACACGACAAATGTATAGACAGTGGCAGGGGCAATGAAACTTCTAAGCAACAAACTCAAGATATTTCTTTAGGCACAAATGCAACAGAAGCAAATGTGAGCAGACTGACATCAAATATAAAAAGAAGCCCCAAGATACAGGACGCCATAAAAGATATAAAAATAAATCTATACACTCTGGAAATATTCCATCTCACACTCAAAATGAATACGCAATAAAAATGCAATTTGCCGAAAGTGCTCAAGAAAAGGACATTATGCAAAAACGTGTAGGACAAGCAGGTTTCAAATTCGAGAACTGAGGGAAGAAGAACCACAATAAGTCTTTGGGTTTGTTATTGCTAACGATAGAATTAACGCGGTCACAGAAGAAGCCTGTAAAGCCGGAGTTAAAGTAACTACAAATCTATGAAGTAAAGTAATTAATTTCAAATTGGATACTGGAGCAGATATAATGGTTGTCCCCAGTTGTTTTAGAAAAAAACTCTCCAATTATTCAAAAATGTAACAAATAGCTGTACGACCAGTTTACCACCAGATAAAAGTTGTCGGTCATGTGGAGGCTTTATTAGAAGCTCCAAAAGCAATGTATAAACAGGATTTGTTTGTTATTAAAAATTTTAGGGACCAATTACTGGGGCACCAGCAATAAAAGCTCTTAACCT